GCCCCGAGAGGAGTAGAAGGAGGAAGAGGAGGAGGAGGAGGAGGAGGAGGAGGAGGAGGAGGAGGAGAAGGATGAGGAGGAGGAGGAAGAGGAGGAGGAGGAAGACGAGGAGGAGGTTTTTGGCGCCTGGAGCTGCTCCAGATCGGAGCGCCCCAGGCTTTGCCGCCGTGCTCCCCTGCCTCCGCATGGCCTACCGCCTCCGCCCCGCCTCCGCACCGCCTCCGCTCCGCTCCGCCCCCGCTTCGCCCCCGCGCGGACGCCCTGCCTCCGCCTCCTGCTGGAGGATCGAAAACAGAAAGTCGCGTACCCCAGCAAGGCACCCTTCCAGGCTGCAGAGGTGGGGAGGCGGGTCGAGGAGTCAGAGGTCGGCCATGTGCGAACCTGGATCCCTGAGCATCCCTGGGCGATCCTAGGAGACGCAGGGACATGTGCACCTGTGCGTATTTGTTGCCAGGGCGCGTGGCCGTCCAGACAAAAAAACGTGTAACCAGCAGTGAGGCGAGTGAACACTTCCGGGACAGATCCTGCCAGCCCTCTGGGCGCGAGTGGTCTAGGGGGCTCGTTCTGCTAACTCCCTTCTTCCCTTTCGGGAAGCGGGTTCCCCCTCCCCCTCCCCCCTCCCCCTGGGTCCGGAGGGGGCGTTTCGCGAGGTGTCGGAGGCCCAGGAGGGCTCCAAGAGGGCTCCAAAAGGGCCCCAGAGAGCTTAAGATGGCATCCGAGATCAGTCGAGGTACTCCAGAGGACCTCAAGGCCGCCCGAGTGCGGCTGTAAGTGCCTTCCGAGCCTCCCAAGAAAGCCCCCAAGAAGCCCAAATGCTCCAAATGCACTGTGTGGTTTCGATGCCGCATTACTTTCTCGCGGTTTCTCTCCCGACGGGCTCGGGCTCTTGAGGATTCAAGGTGGCTCAAAGATGACCCAAGCGGACCCCACGAGGGGCTCAAGAAGGGCGCAACACGGCCCAGGAGAGCCCAAGACCGCCCCACGAGCTCCACAAGAGGCTCGTTTTTGGGCACAGGCGGGGGGTCTCTTCTTGAGTACACGTCATTCATTTCTAATCGTGCTCATTTCTAATTGCGCTCGTTTCTAATTGTTCTTGGCCTCCTAGTGGCCAGGAAGAGCCCCAGGATAGAACAATCAGAACTGAAAGGCTCTTGGACCCCAGAACATCAGAGAACTTCCGAATGCTTAGAAGTGAAGCATGTGTGTATTCCCTCCCCCACCCTTCCTTGACCGAAGACTTCTACGTGAGATGGCCCCAAGAGCTAGGGCTCCCAACTTCGCGCTTCGCGCTCCGCGAAGCGCGAAGCGCGAATAACTTCGCGCCCTCGCGCCGCCCCCCCAAAGGGAGAAAAGGAGGACGAGGAGGAGGGGGAGAAGGAACGAGGACCGCGAAGCGCGAAGCGCGAATAACTTCGCGCCCTCGGGGGAGCCCTTGAGCATGTGTATTCCCTCCCCCACCCTTCCTTGACCGAAGACTTCTACGTGGGATGGCCCCAAGAGGCTCCCCACCCAAGGTTCCCAAAGCTTTGGGGGCCCACGGCCGGAGATGGACCACGGCGTCACACGCCAGGCACCCGGAGCCAAAGGCCCGCGGAGGTCTCGATTGCGGATTCCTGTCGTCGTCGTCGTCCCCAGACATCGGGCGTCTCGAAGAAATCGTGACGACATTCTCTCGCAAATTGTTGGCCTCTCGGTGCCCTCGCCAGGCCTCGGGACCGTCAACAGAAACGACTCGGGATGAAAAACCGGTCCCGGGGAAGTGGTCGGGAGGTCGGGGGCCCGCGTCTCGAAAAAATCGAAACGTCGGGAGTCTGGGTCGCGCATCTTTTGGAGGATGGGCTGGTAGGGCTACGCGGAGCGTCAAGAATTGTGAGGAAGGCTCAGGCGAGACGTCTGCAGGACTGAGGCGATCTAGGGCCTCCCCTTTCCCCCTGTGGGACTCATCTGTGGTACTTGTTTGCCACAGTTCGAACCCGAACGTTCTAGCGAAACGCTATTGGGGAAGAGCCCCATAAGGGTGAACGATCGGAGGGCCGCGCGGATTTCTTGGGTCGGTGCTGGACGCAATAGATCCGATCCTAGAAGACCAGCGCGGGAAGTTCAACGCCGAACCACGACGTTTGTGGTGCTGACCTCCCCAGGGTACCGTAATGGTTATGGAATCGTCCTTTCGAGAAGCGGGGGAGGGAGAAAGGGAGGGAGTAGGGGGAGAGAAGGGGTGGGGAGGATGAGGAAGATAAGGATGGCTAGTGTGCGCTGTGGGAGGTTCTGACCGCTGGGGCAGCCTGCGGTGAGCCGCTTGTCCATCTTCCGCTCGAGCCTGCGGAGGTCGTCCTTCTCCGCACCCGTCAACGTTGGGCGGGTCTTCTCCTGCAGGACAGGGGGGAGCAAGCATGATGAAGCAAGACGGCGAACGTGCATACACACTTCTATGGGCGCACGCGATGAAAATATTGGATAAAAAAGAACCCTTAGATACGGAATACACGGTCTGGAAGTCGGTAAAACACCAATTGAGGCTTGGCCATGTCATCAGATAGGGGATCCTCCAGGCTCTGCAGCCTCCAGGGCACATGTCTCAGCGGAGGCCCCCACTGTATGCATCTGATGCCATCGCGCGGCTTCTGCGAACGGCAGCGCCCAATACTCCGTGCTAGCGGGGCGAGGTGGCAGATCCAAACCACCAGTCGGGTCGGGCGAAAGGGGGGGATAGCAAAGGGGGGGTTTGAGAATCAGCTCACGTAGCTGATTTTCCCGGCGCCTCCCGGCGGCGGAGGCGGCTATGTATCGAGGAATGGGCCCCTCGGTGAGGCCGAAACCAGCTGCATGCAGCAAATTTCGTAACCCCCCCGTTCCCAATCCCCCCCTTTCGTCCGCCCCGAACCAGGAAGCAATATGAAGCCAGAGTGCAGGAGGCCAGAGGGGGCAAGGCATAAACGAACGGCCGACCGCGGTACGCAGGCCCGTCGGGCGCGGGCCTCTGAGGACCTCGTTCGGGCACCGGCGGAGACCGACCCCTAGGAGGCCGCAAGGGGCCAAGCACGAACGGCCGACTCTCACACGTAGGCGCACACACAGACCCGCACACGTACACGCACACGCACGCACACGCACACGCACACGCACACGCACACGTACACGCACACGCACACGCACACGCACACGCACACGCACACGCACACAACAAAAACACAAATCACAAAACACAAAACACAAAACACACAACACACAACACGCAACACGCAGCACACAGTCCACAACGCCCGCACCCGCACACGCACTCGCACCTGCACCCGCACCCGCACCCGCACACGCACACGCAGACCCAGACACACACACACACACAGACACACACACACACACACACGCACGCACGCACGCACGCACGCACGCAGGCAGCACGCACGCACGCACGCACGCACACACACACACACTCACACACACACACATATGTGTGTGTTTTGGCGGTCGCGGCCCCGCGTGCTGTGGGGAGGCTGAGAACATCAAGTGCAACGGCCAGGGCCCCTTGCGCGCCGTGCTCACATGGAAGCAGCGCCACATGCCATCTGGGTGAGGATGGCTGGGAGGAGGGGATGACGAAACGACCATCGGCTTATCTTGCCCCCATCGTGCTTAAGGACCACATCCCAGAACTAATTTCGAGCACCCGGAAAAGGTGTCAAAGAGTGTCGGAAGAGTGTCGAAACGGTGTCGGATGAGTGTCTCCCAGGGCCCGACACGTGAAAACCCTCGAAGTTTCGGGTACTTCCTTGGTGCTCGAAATTACTTCTGGTGATTCAGGCTAAAGTAGGTTGGAACATCATAACCATCGGCCGGGGAAGGGGCCCGCACGGAAAGCGAAGCAGGCGACACGAGCGGCACGACAAGCGACACGACGGGCGGACGACCGTCCAGCGCGCACTCAGCGAAGGAGCGAGCGGCAGGATACACGACGGAGGGGACGCAGTAGGAGAAGGCAGAATGCCATTGGGGGACGCTCAGCCTCTGGACTTGCGGCTCCCGCGAGGTCGCGACAGCCCGCGGGACGCCGCCGCGTCAGAGCCCCCGCCGGTGGCAACGGAGGACACCTCCCTGTCGTGGGTGGCGTCGCGGCATGCGCCGTCGGGAAGAGCGCGAATGACGAGGCCGAGCTGGCAGGCGAAGAAGGCACACATACTGCTTTAAGCGGCAGCGGCCTCGCGCGCGGCGACGAGGCAGAGAGTAAAGTCAGAGCAGCGGGGCGGGCGCGCGCGCGGCCGGGCCCCTGAAGCGAGGCCGTTTTGCATCGCCACGCCAGCCACCATAGCAGCCAGCTGCACACGGCCATCCGGGCATGGACGGCGCGGTGAGAAAGCGCTGCCCGCCGCGGGACGCCCCACGGCGGAAACAGAGCGAGAAGCCACTGTGGAGAACATTGGCCGCCGGGCACGGTTGGCGGGGAGGAGGAAAAGAGCCGGCCGCGCAAGCGGACGGTCCCGGCAGGTGGCACGACGCACGGAGGGTCATGCCACCCCAGGCATGCGACGTCCTGATGTGTTCAGGACGGCGTCCCCAGAAGTCCAGTCCCCTTCCCTGGAGCCGGTCTTTCATCCTGAGTCGTCCTTTGACGTTCCCGAGGCCCGGCGGGGGCCCCCCGAGGCCGAAAACGGCCAAAAACCTCCCGTCCTGATTTCTTTTTACGACGCGATCAACGGGACTGGTGCAGCAGGAGAGGATCCCCGCAAGAGGCGAGGAGGAACGGGCAGGCAAGGCGCGCGGGAGCCTCAGCGCCTGGGCCTGGACAGACGCCCGCGGCCGGACGGCTCGCGGGATGCGCGGCGCTGCAGGGGGGGTCCGCAGCAGGACCAGCACCCGAAGGGGCGGGGGAGGGGCCTGGCGCGGCGAGAGAAGCGGCGAAGAGAGCAGCACCGGGGAGCGAGGAGGAGGAGGAGGAGGAGGCGGAGGCGGAGGCGGAGGAGGAGGAGGACGAGGCGGAGGAGGAAGGAGGAGGAAAGAGGAGGAGGAAGAGGAGGCCGAGCTGAGGAGAAGAAGAGGCGTGAGGGCCCTGGCCAGCGGCTGGGGGGGACGCGGTCGACGCATTCTGGATGGCCCGCACGTGGCAGGTCACGTCGACAAAGTTGGGCGTGGATGAAGTGGGTGTCCAGCATGGCTACCACTTGGGAGGCAAGGGCAGGCGAGGGCGTGGCAAAAGGCGCCGGACCCCGCAGACGGGACGGCCCCAATCGTCAGGCCGGTTGTGGCTCGGTGCTTGGGCGGCGGGGCGCCTGCAGTGCCGGCTGTGTCCCTCGGAGCGGGGTTGTGCCTGGGCAAAGAAACAGCGCAAACAGACACACGCACACAGACACACAGAGACAGACAGACAGACAGACAGACAGACAGACAGACAGACAGACAGACAGACAGACAGACAGACAGACAGACAGGCAGGCAGGCAGGCAGACAGACAGACAGACAGACAGACAGAGAGACAGACATACAGACATACAGATAGACAGATACACACACACACACACACACGCACGCGCACGAAACGCACTGCTTGGTGTCGCGGCCGCGCGCGCAGCGACGCGGCGGAGTCAGTCATCGCAGGGCTCCGGGTACACGCACACACACAAACACACACACACACACGCACGCACACTTGTTCCTCCACCACAGAATGTACTAAGGCGGGGCGCGCTTAGTAAAATTACGACCTGGCGCAACAAATGAGGAAGTCATAATGACACCTGACAGCGTTAAGGAAGAGCGCGAGACCGTGAATGCGCGTGGAACATGTCGGTGAGGCCATGCAGAAACACAGACACAGACATAATCACCTACCCTCACACACAAGCTCACACGCACGCAAACGTATACACGCACACGCACACGTTTCCTCCGACGCGCCAAACAACTCCACTAAAACACGTTCACGCGCGCACGCACGACACACACAGAAACAGACACAGACACAGACACAGACACAGACACACACACAGACACACAGACACACACGCACACACACACACAAACACACACACACACACGCATACGTTGTCCTCCAGGTGCCACGACCGCGTAACACGTCAACGTGGCGTGCCATCATATCTTGCAAAACCCTCTCATAAGTTAGACAATGCCCTCTCGCGTCTCCGAGGCAATACCCTCTCGTAAATTAGGCAATCTCTGCGTCCTCGAAGCCACGACCCATTTAGATTACGCGTTCTCCGCGTCCCCGACATCATAAACCCTCGTAGAGTACGCAGTACTCGCGCTCTCGAGGCCACAATCCTTGTGAAACGCTCCGAGACGGCACAAAAGGCGTCCGAGACGGCCCAAGAGTGCTCCAAGGCGCCCAAGATGGTCTCAAGACGGCCCTAGAGGCTCCAAAGAGGCCCCCAAGAGCGCTCCAAGAACACCCCCAAGAGGGGCCCAAGAGGCGAACATCTGCGATATCCCTTAGGTTTTTGATAGGTTTTGGCACGTTCTCCTTTTCGGGCCTCAGACGCTCTAAGACGGCCCCAGAGGCCCCCCAAGACCGTCCCAAGATGGCCCAAGAGGCTCTCAAGAGGGCCCCAAGACTGTTTAAGAGGGCCCCAAGACGGCTCAAGAGATCCCCAAGACGGCCCAAGAAGGTCCCAAGACGGCCCCAAGAGTGACCCGAGACGGGGGACCCGAACCCTAGTGGCCCCCTTTCGGAGTTCCGACGCTGCTTCACGATGGCGCCCAGGCCTCACAGCACAGCTCCTGCATGCCCCAGTCTCGGAGAAGGGGCCGGCGGAAGGAGACGAAGACCTTACGTACATATATGACTCTCTCTTTGTTTTTTTGTTTGATTGTTCTCTATCTCTCTCTCTTTCTCTCTTTGTGTTGTTTCTCTCTCTCTCTCTATGTATATGTGTGTCCGTGTGTGAAAATATGTATAAGAAGACAGCGCTGCCTCTCCTGCCTGGTGTTCGCCTCCAGAACATCTTCTCCTCGTCATCCAGCCCGCCCTCCAGACCCCCGTCGTCATCGTACCCCTCATCCTCCCGATGACGTCGCTCCCCGCATCGTCCTCCTCCTCCACTGCGGGTAAGACTTGTATCCATATCCAGTGCGTCTTGAACTTTGTTGGAAGAAGCGCCTCAAGGCCGAGGCGCACTGGATATGGAAAAAAACCTAGCCTCTAGGGGGCAAATTTGTCCCTGTATCCAGTGCGCCTCGGGTTTCTGGGGAACGGAGCCCGCATCCACCCCTCTTCCTTGCAGACAACTCTCTGGCGTCGCGCCACCAGGCGTGTCCGCAGGCTGGGCTGGGCGTTTTGCCGGAGCCCTCCTGGCAAATGTTCTACCCTGGAGTAGATCGTGAACGAGCATAATGGAGCTAATCATGAAAATCGATCGTAGATCGATCGTACATGGATCTACCCTGGAGTCGATCGATCGTAGATCGATCGTAGATCGTTAAATCAAATGCAAGGATGGAGGGCACATTATGTTCAACATGTGGCTTTCGCCCACGCGCTTCGCGCATTCGACATGGACACTTCCAGCAGCTTCAGGGACGGAGGGCTGGTGGCTTTCACAATGCAGCACTGGCCTTAGCGCCGCGCACATGTTTCAATGAAGCCCAGCAGCTATGAAGATGGAGGCCCAGACGTCTTTTAGATGCAGCTGTCACCTTAATGTCGCGGTCATTCCTTTAATATATATATTTATAAATCTCCCAACAAATGTAAACCGGGAGGCTGGCTTGCGTCCGGCTGGGTTCCCAGGTTCCCGGTTCCGGGCTCCCGGATTCTTGCGGTGGGTTCCGGGTTCCCGGGTTCCCGGTCGATCTCCTTATCGATGAAACCATCCACTTATTGGGGTTGATCTCTGGTGTGATCTCCTTTCAAGAGAGATGTCGTCGGACAACACTCCGAACTGCACCGCCCCGCCTTTTTTCCGCGAGTCTTCGAGCCAGGCGGCGGACGGAGGGCGGAGCCTGCACGGCAAGGGGTCCCACCCGAGCGGCAGACCCACCGAGCGCGCTCGCCACGAGAGCGGTGCGCGCCCCGCGTGGGCGAGGGATGCCCGCAGGGCCTTCTCGTGAGGTCGGGCGTGTCCTCCCACGGGCGCATCTTGGACGAACAATAGGCCCCCAAGAGCCCCCCAAGAGGCCCCAGGGGAGCCCAATACGCCGCCAAGGGGCCCCAAGAAGCCCCCAAGAAGCCCCCCAGACGGCCCCAAGAGGCCCCCAATAGCGCTCGAGGGCCGGCGGAATGAGCGAATCGATAAAATAAAGACCAGTCAAACAAGTGTGCAACAAATACACCAACAAATACTCCACACATCGAGCCCAGACTCTTTTTTGACTATTTCTGAACATTCCCCCTGTTGAAGGACGCGGCCCGACTTCACCTTATCGGGAGGGCACTTGGGACGGGAAGGTGTCCTGCAGCATCGAGGACGCATTATGGGTGTACCGTGATAACCCCCCCCCCTCCTCGTGATCCTCATGGTCGGATCTCTCCGCATCTGGCCATACCTCTCCCTCCTCCTCCTCCTGCTTGTCCTCCTCGTTCTCCTCCTCCTTCTCCTATCCCTCGTCCGCCCCGCCCCCACCAGATTCGTCCTCATCATCCAGCGTCCCCCTCCTTCGCCTCATCTTCCTCCGCTGCCCCCTTTTCCCATCCTCTTCTTGGACCGCATCGTCCTCCGCCCCGCCCTCCTTCGCCGCGTCCTCTCTTCGTCCTGCGCTCCCTGGCTCCCCTCGTCCCCCTGCTCCTCCTCCTCCCTCTCGCGGGGGCCTTCTTGCCGAGGCCCCTCCACGATCCCAGGTGATCGAGGCGGTGCCACAGATCCTGGGCGGAGGTGGAGGCGATCAGACGCGGTTCGGAGGGGGGACGGGAGGGAAGGCAGAGTTGGAGGGGGAAGAAGACAAGCACGTGGAGGTAAAAGGAAGAAAAATGAAACGAGCAGGAGGAGCCGTAGACACGCGTATGATGAGCCCACGTATCTGCCAGTATTGAGCCACATGATGAGGATCATGATGACGAGATGGGGGAAATGCAGCAATGCGGGGAGACGAGGGGTGATGACATCTGGGGAGGGGTGCGGATGAGCAGGAGTCAGGACGGACTCATGAACCGACTGGAAGACTGCAGATGTGTCGCCCCCAGCGCGGGGCCTGGAACACCCACAAGCTGAGGAACACTTAGCGACATAATCAAAGGGGGGGAGGATGTGGACGACTTGCGCAATAAGGAGAAGGGGGTGGTATAGGGGATATATGGGGTGAGGAGGGGGAGGACGAGAAAGACGATAGAGAACGAGAAGGAAGGACAGAGGAAATAAGGAGGGCAGAAGGAGCAAGAATGGGAGAGGGGGAGGAGAGAAAATTGGGCAAGGAGCGAGAGGAGGTGAACTATGGAGACGGGAAGAGGAGTGATGACCAGGGCGAGCGAGGCTGAATGAGGCGTGATAGGGGAAGGAAGGATGTGGAGATAGAGGAGCAGGTATGATAGAAGGGGGGGCCTACGGAGGAGCACTGATGACCCCGGAATGATGAATCCCAAGCTCCCTTGACTCGCTCTCCACTTGACCACCCCCCACACGCATCACTCTCCAATTCCCTCCCCTCCTTTCTCCATGTATGCCTTCTTCCACACCTTTGTCACTCACCTGGCGTGCATCCACCCTCCCTCTCTCCCTCTCTCAACCCCTCCCCCTCTCTCTCCCTATCTCTCGCCCTCTCTCTCTCTCTCTCTTTGCATGGCTCTCTCACGCCCTATCTTACTTTTACTTACTTCCTCTCTTTCTCTCTCTTGCCCTCTCTCTCCTTCCCTCCCTCTCGCCATTTACCTTCCCTTTCACATGACCGGATCCACCCCCTCTCTCCCGCACCTCCTCCATCACCCTCAGCGCTTCGAGCACCCAGGTGACCGATGGTGTCGGCTACACGCTACACGCAAGAGTGACCCTGGGTAAGAGTGACCTTTGTTGCGCGATGTTTTGGGGGGCCGCGGGGGGACCAAAAACGAGCGCGCCAGACGCTACTATCGCATCGCTCTCGGCGATCAGGACCCCCTTGGGCCCGCACCAAAGGTCACTCTGGCGAAAGGTCACTCTTACGTCTAATCGATGGGGGTGCCCGAGCCAGACAGCAGGCACCCAGGAGACGGCCAACAGAGGCCTTCAGACAGGAACACCTTAAAGCAATATGTTCAGATTACTTTCCAGGGTTCCTTGTGAGCCAGGGCAGCGGTCAGGCCGGGCTAGAACAGCCCACATATTCTTATTTACCTTCACTCACTTGCACACCGTATACACAGATGTGTACACACAGATGTGTATATGTGTATATCCTTTTGTATACGTACCTATATACAGAGTGAGGATGCCGAGCGGTCGTCCACCGTGCCTGGATGCGTGGCTGAAATAAGGTTCTGCGGTGAGAATGTTTGTTGTCGTTGTTGTTGCTGTTGCTGTTGATGTTGCTGCTGTTGCTGCTGCTGTTGTTGTTTGGTGTTGTTTGTAAGCGCCGTCCCCCCAACGACCCGGCCTGCGACCCGCCCGCAACCCTGCACGCGACCCACCCGCGAATCACCCGCGACCCACACGCGACCAACCCCGTGAACCGCCCTCGACCCACCCACGACCCACACACGATCCACCCACGACACACCTGCGACCCATACGCGACCCGGCCCGCGACCCACCCGCGACCCATCCACATGGCTTTACCTAGAAAACGGCGCCTGCGGCGGGCTCTTTGTGCAACTTGTTGAAATTCGGCGCCTGCAGAGGGCTTCTTCAGAGCCTCGCAAACTGCCGACGTCTCCGCCACCCCCGCACTTTGATCCGCAACTGCGGGGCGCTGAACACACACACACACACATACACACACACATTTATAAATATAACCATCGCGCGCGCTTCGCGCGCGCTCAAGTTCTAGCTGGGGTCATTATAATCGTCATCATTGTCATTCTCATCCACGTCATCTTCATCGTCATCGTCATGGTCATGGCCACCTTCACCATCACAACGATCACCATTATCAGCAGTATAATCAGCATCGTGATCACCATCGCCATCATCGTCATCGTACTTTTCAGCATCATCCGCACCATCATCATCATGTTGGTCGTCGTCGGCGTCGTCGTCGGCATATTCATCGTCACCATCATCAGCGTCATCGCCGTCATCATTCCCTGTCCACTGCAGTCCCCTCACCCTCATCCTCTTTCCGTTCTCCCTCTGCCCATCAACTTGTATTCATCCTTTTCCTCGTCGGCGTTTCTCTGAAAGGGATCCCTGTTTCTTCACCTCCTTCTCTTCTTCCTCCTCCTTCTGCTTCTCCTCCCTGCCTTCCCCGCTCTTCGGTATGTCCTTCCTCGTGTTACTTCACCTACTCCGCCTCCTTCCTCCTCTCGAGCCCTCTTCATCCTGCGCTCCAGGTCCCTCCTCGTCCTCAGCATCCCTCCCCGAGACAGAGAATCAGAAAACAAGATAATCTTACAAGACCAATGCCCCTCCTCCTCTTCCCCCTAATTTCCCACTCTTGGTCCTCCTGATCTTCCTCCCCCTCCTCCTACTCCTCCTCCTCCTCCTCCTTCTGCTCCTCCTACTCTTCCTCTTCCTCCTCCTCCTCCTGCTCCTCCTGCTCCTCCTCCTCCTCCTCCTCCTCCTCCTCCTCCTCTCCCACCTCCTCCTCCTCCTCCTTCTCCTCCTCCTAATCCTCCTTCTTCTCCTCCTTGTCCTCCTCCTCTTTTCCCTCAACGCCCCCGATACACGGGTGCCTACTGGACGTCGTGCAGGGAGCCTTTTTGAAAGCGTTGTGGCAGTCTCTGGAGCCTCTCCGGGCCTTCCTTTGGAGTCCTTTGGGGTCTTTGTTGGCCCGTCTGAGGGCCCATTTCGGCCGTTGCGGGTCCCTCTTGGCTCGTCGTGGGGAGCTCAGCCCGTCTTGGGGCCCTCCTGGGGCCCTCTCCGACCATGTAGGGATCTTTCGGTGGCCCCCTCGGGGTTCCTGGGTACTCTCTTGGGCCGTTTTGTAGCTCGTCTGTGCCGAGTCAAGCTCTCTTCAGCCCATCTTGGAACCCTCTTTGGGGCCTCCGGGGCCGTCTGGGGCCCATTTTGGTAAACTGTTGGGCCGTCGCGACCGCTAGCGAAGCTCCCATCAATACATCTTTTTTCCATAGGAAATGCTTGATTTTCGCCTTTGGAGGGCCTTCTCAGCGGCCTCTTGGACAGTCGTGGGGGGGTCATTTCGGGCCTTTTGTGGCCCGTCTGGCATGTCATGGGTAGCTGAGCCGTCTTGGGGCCCTCCTGGAGCCCTCTTCGACCATGTAGGGATCCTCTGGTGGCTCCCTCGGGCCCCCTGGGGACTCTCTCGGGTTGTTTTGGAGCTCCCTTGTGCTGCTCGACGCTCTCTTGAGGCTGTCTTGGAGCCCTCTTGGGGGCATCGTGGACCGTGCGACGCCGATTTTGGGAGCCTTTGGGGCCGACGTGGCCGCCGATGGAGCATAAGAAACGCATATCAGAAAAATGTACGTTTTTCCATGGGAAATGCTCGTTCTTTGCACCCGGGAGCCTTCTCAGCGGCCTCCTGGACCGTCTTCAGGGAGACCTGGTAAGCCTTTTTTGGACCCTCTGGGAGCCCAGTTCGGCCGTTCCGGGTCTCTCTTCGCCCGCCATGGGGGCCTGAATTCGTCTTGGGGCCCTCTGGGGGCCCTCTCCGACCATGTAGGGATCCTCCGGTGGCCCCCTCGGGGTTCCTGGGTACTCTCTTGGGCCGTGTTGGGGCTCTCTTGTGCTACTCGAAGCTCTCTTCAGGCCGTCTGGGGGTCTTGGGGGAGGCCGTCTGGGGCTCATTTTGGGAGCCTCTGGGGCCGTCGCGGCCGCTGGTAGGACTGAAAAGCAAATTCGCCGGCCCAACGGGCCAGAGGCGTGCTAAGATCTCCGGTAACTGGTTAACAATTCTCTAGTTCGCGCGCGCGGGGCGGCCCCTGGGGGTCCCCAGACGAAAAGTACCCCGGGCGGGTCCCGGCTGATCCCCCGGCGACTCCACCAGAGCGCTCCATGAGCGCACCAACAGGGCTCCGAGACGTCCCCGAGAGCCCCAAGAAAGGCCAAGAGGCCCCCAAGAGGCCCCCAAGATGGCACACGAGGGGTCCGACATGCCACAAGATCGCTCCAAGACGCCCAAGATAGCCCCCAGACGCCCCAAGAGGCCTCCAAAAGCACTCCCAAGAGGGCCCCAGGAGGCAAAATTCATTGCTTTTCCTCGGGTTCCTGAGAGATTTTGGAGTTTCCACCTTTTCGGCTTCCCGACGCCCCAAGACGGCCCAAGAGGCCCCCAAGATCGCCCCAAGAGGGCCCAAGAGGCCCCAAAGAGGGCCCCAAGATGGCCCAAGAGGGCTCGAAGACGGCCCAAGAAGCCTCCAAGACGGTTCAAGAGGGCCCCAAGAACGCCCCCAAAGGGGCCCCAGAGAGGGAACACGAAACAACATTTCGAGCCCTCGGCCCTAAGAAGCCCCACGAGGCCCCAAGAGGCCCCTAAGAGGCCCCAAGAGGCCCCCACGAGGCCCTCAGGAGGCCCCCAAGAGTCCCCCAAGCGGCCCCAGGAGGCCCCCCAAATGCCCCCCCGAGCACGCAAGCAAGTGCAAGCGATGCTACAATGTGCTCTCCTTTCGGTAGACTCCCAACGGGGCCCCTACAGACTTGCAACAAGCGTCAAGAACCTGCCCAAAAAGCACTGTCCAGGAGCGTTCATAAATGCCGCGAAGAAGCCCTCCTTACGCCGGAAAGCCCGGAAAGCCAGGTGGGGTGAGCTGTTCTTCTCACCACCGCGCCCTCTCACACAATGGCTTCCGCACGCCGCCCAGAGCGCGATGCCTCCCATCACACCCCCGACGACGACGACGACGACGACGACGACGACGACGACGACGACGACGACGACGACGACGATCCAGGAGCGCGCCAAAACGGCACCGGAACGCCCCCGAAACAATCCAAGCGGCCTCAAGTCGCCGAACAATCGTTCCAAATCGCCCAAGATGACCTCAAATTGCCGTCGAGGCCGCCAAGAAGCCCCAAGAGAGTCTCAAGAGGCCCTCCAAGACGGCCATTACAATCAAAAATCGTCCCATTCCCAGTGGAACATGTACACTTCCCGCATGAACGGCGTTTCGAGTTTCACAGCGCCTCAGAATACGCAAATAGCCCCCAACATCGCCCCGAGACAGCCCAACAATCCGCTAAAATCGGCCCAAGACGGCCCAAGATAACCCCAAGACGGCACAAGAGAGCACCAAGACCGCCCAAGAGGCGCCCAAAGGGGGATTCTGCCCCTAGGAGCACCTCAGAAGCCACCAACATCCCGCCAATAAGTCCCCCAAGACGCCCCAAGAACCACCCAAGAAACCCAACAAGAAGCCCCAACGACCCCCAAACGGCCCTTACGGGGCCTTAAGAAGCTTCAACACTGCCTCCAAGAGGTTCCCGAGACGCCTGGCAAAAGAACCCCCAAAGCGCCGCATTGACACCAGGCCCTCGGGCAAACGGCAGACATGAGACTGTATGGGCCGGCGGAATGAGCGAAGCGATTAAATAAGAAAGAAATTTGCGTTTTGGAGCTTTGCCCTTGGAGGGCTTTCTCGGCGGCCCCTTGGACCGTCTTGAATGCCTTTGCGGCCGTCTTGGAGCGGTCTTGGGCTGTCTTCGAGCGTTCGTGGCCCGTCCAGAAGCCATCTAAGTGCGCTCTTCAGCCGCCTTCCAGACAACCTGGGGCGCTTTGGGCGCCTCTTGGGCCAGCTTGGAAGCCTCTGGGGGGGTCTGGGGCCCCTTCTGAAACCACTTGGAGCCCTCAAGGCCCCCCTGGCCCCCCCATACGAACCAGAGGCAACAGTTCTGGGCCCTCCCCCGGCCGACTCCGATGTGTATATATATGTATATGTATATGTATATAGACATTTACATATACATACATATATATATGTATGTATATATATGTGTATATATACACATATGTATATATATATATATATATATATATATATCTATATATATGTATGTGTGTGTGCGTGTGTATGAATGGACCGTGGGGTGTCCCCGCCACCACAGGATTCGAACACACTTGTTTTATCTAGCGAGCGGCGCGACCTCCCTCTCTCTCTCTGTCTCTCTCTCTCTCTGTCTCTTTTTTTCCCTCTCTCTCTCTTTTGTCTTTCTCTCTTTCTTTCTTTCTTTCTTTTTCTTTTCTCTCTCTCTCTCTCCCCCTCAGAATTCGAATTCTTTGGAGAACACCCCTAAAACAATCGATGGGAAAACCTCACAGCAGGAACCCGTTGGAAAACGCAACAAGGAGATTGTATAGGAACGCCTCACAACAGGAATCCGCCTGAAAGCACTACTGAGGGTTCGTATGGGAGCTCCCGAAAGGACCACGAAGAGATTGTATTGGAACGCTTCACAACCGGAGTCTTTCGGAAAGCGCCACAAGAGGATCCTGTTGGAAAGCGAAAAACCAGGAAGGCGTTTGGAACGCACCGAAACAGGATTCGATGGGAAAGTCTCACAACAGAAACCGTTCGGAAACACACAACAAAGCGATTCGACTGGAAAGCCTCACGATCAAAACCCGTTGGACAGCACCATCAAGGAATTCAAATGGAAGGCCTCGCAAAAAGGGTACTTCGGGAAACACCACAGTTGTAGAACGCGTCACAAAAAAACAATCCTTTTGTAAGCACAACACGGAGACTCGATTGGAAAGCATCACAATCGAAATCCTTGGCGGGGGGAACACAAGGACATTCCTTATGAAGGCGCTGGAAACAACATGACCCAACAGAAGAACCAACACCACCGAATACATCAAAGGCAGATCTCCAAACAACAGACCAACCTAAGGAACACACAACGGGAAGCGGAGTGAGTAGTGAAAAACTAAGATTTTCACTACTCACTCCACTCCCCGTCCTCATCATCCTTCTTCCCCTCCTCCACCACCTCCTCCTCTTCCCCCCCGCCCCCCTGATCCCTCACCCTTCACGTCTTCATGCCTTTCTCATGAATAGCTCCACCACGTCGCACCCCGAGGCCAATCGGAAAGGCGGGCTGGGCTCTTCGAATCCTTACCATATATAAGCCTGAAGCTTACTAGCGAGCAAAAGTTTAACATATGGAGGGTGAGGAACTTCTATCATGTGGCTCTTGCCGTCGCGCCGCCCGCACCCGTGCAGACAACTGTAAAAATTTCACGGACTGAGGGCGGGTGGTTTTCAAAACACGGCTCTTGCCTTAGCGCCGCGTGCATTCGTTTTCAACACTTACAAGAGCTTCACGGATTGAGGCCGGGTCGGTTTGAAAATGTGGTTCTCGCCTCGGCGCCGCGCACATTCGTCTTAACATACTAAAATAGCTGCACGGATGAAGGGACCGCGGATTGCAACATGTGGCTCTCGCCTTAGCGCCGCACGCACTCGTGGTAAACAGATGCAAGGCCTTCACGGATTCAAGGCGAATCCTTTCCAAACTGTCGCTCTCGTCTGAGCGCCGCGCACATTCGTGCCGCGTACATTTTCATACTGAACGTACTAAGCATGGTGTTTTGGAACGGTTCAGGGCTGTCAGGGCGCAAGAAATACGCTGATTCGTGGTGTTGAATTCCCAGGAATGGTGTTATGGCGCGATTCAGGATCATCAAGACGCAGCAATCAGGTAGACTCGTGGCGTCAAGATGTTCAGTCGGTAGTTCCCGGAAAGGGCGCGTCCACGAATGGAAATGAAACCTTGTAGAGGCCTGTGAAGAAGAAGCTCGGAGGGAGGGTATATTTTAACATCGAAATCTTGTCCTCCTCCTCCTCCTCCACCTCCTTCTCCCCCTCCTCACTCCTCCCCCTCTTGCTCCTCCTCTTCCTGCTGCTCCTCCCCCCCCCGCATGCAGCAGGGCAAAGAAGGAACGAGGAAGGAGGGGGAAGAGGAGGAGAAGAAGGAGTTAAGAGCGAGGGGTGGGAGGTGGGGGGCGTAAGGGAGGAGGAGGAGGAAAAGGAGGAGGGGGAGAAGGATGAGGAGGAGAAGTGGGCTAAGTAATGGCATCGTTACTTGTGTTTGATTTGTTGCTTATTGCGGGGTTATCCCTTAGGTGCTTGTGGTTGTCCAGTGGTCGGCCTGTGATTTCTACATGTTTGTCTGCTGCCTCTTAGTTCGGTTTGGTGTTCCAGTGCTCTCATGCGGAATCTGTTTGCGAGCCTCTCGCAAAGGATTACGATTGTGAGGCTTTCCAATCGTGTTCATGTGTGTGGTGCTTCTTCCCAAAGGATGCCTGGCGTAACGCGTTCCACTAGGAACGTTCGGTAGCGATTTCCAGCGTATTCCTGTTGTGAGGGGTTCCAGTAATCCCTGTGTGGCGCTCGCCAGAGGTTTCCTGTAGTGAGGCGTTCCACTCAAAATCCTTTGTGGCGCTTTCCAACATAATCCCCTTGTGATGATTACAAACGGGTTCCGGTTGTGAAGTTTTTTCCAAGCAACTCTTTGTATGGTGCTGTCCAGAAGAGTTATGTTCTGAAGCTTTCTGATCGAATTATTGTGTGGCGCTGTCTAACTGCTCCTGATGTAAGGCGTTTCCATATAATCACTTCGCGGTGCCTCCGAACGGAATCCGATTGTGAGGCTTTACGCTAGAGTCACTTCGTGGCGGTTGCCAGAAAACTATTCTCGTGATGCTGTCCAATTCGAGCCCCCAGCAACGCTTTCCACCGAATTCCGTCTGTGAGGCTTCCAAGAATACCTCTTTGCCTGCTGTAACGCTGTCCAAGAAAATCCCTTTGGAGGGCGAGTGAGTGAGAGAGAGTGAGAAGCCGCTGTGAGGGAGAGAGAGTGGGAGAGAGTCGGCTGTGGACAAACCTCCCTTTAGTAAACCACCCTTTAATGAAAACGGCCCTCGACCAACATCGACGGGCCTGGACCCGCAACAATGACGGCCGCGACGCCCTCTCGCGAACCGAACGCGGCCGATTCGCTAATCGACGGGTCAGGGTAGGCGGCCTGTCCACCCCCGAAGAGAGGGAGGGATAGAGAGGGCGGGGGCGCGCCGCTCGTGAGAGGCAAGTCCGTTTACTCGAATCCCATGGGGGGGCGAGGATACCTCACTGCCCACATTCTACACATGCATATACACTCCAGTCTGCCGAGAGAAAAGGAGAAATAGAGAGAGAGAGATACATATATATATATATATATAGAGAGAGAGAGAGAGAGAGAGAGAGAGATAGGACGAGACAGAGATAGAGAGGGATAGAGAGGGAGAGAGGAGATAGCGACAGGGAGGCAACAGCTGCCCATCGAACGTCATCCTCGAGCGTCCTCCTCGTCCACATTTCCCCCTGTGCCACCTCCTCCTCGTGCTCCTTCACCGTCTCAGCCTCCTCCTCTTCCTCATGTGTCGAGAGCGGGGGAAGAAGGGGTCAGCGAGCGGTTGAAGAACGAGCCAGCGAGACACTGGCATGCAGGAGAGAAAAGGGCCGCCAGGATCAAATGACGTCCCCGTGGAGGAAGTATGGGAACCTCCTGGAAGGAAGAGGACGCAGAGGGAGAATATGAGGGAGGAATGGGGAGGAAGCAGAGGAACGAGGGGGACAAGGAGGAGGAGAAGGAAACGGCAGACGACGACATCAGGAGAAAGAGATGGGGCTGCCAGCACAGAAGGTCGCCTCTGTTGAATAGGTCGGCGACTTCTCCCTCTGGTCGCTCCTGGCAGGATGGGGGGATGCTGCCGGGGATGGGGATGGGTTGATTTTTTTTTGGCGGGTATGGTGATGGGGCAGGAGAGGGAGGACAACGGAGGAGAGGGACTGATGGGCGTGCGCGGGTGGAGGAGAAAGAGGAGGACGACGACGACGGACCAGACGACTGCGACGAGGACGAGGGGCACGGGAGGAATGAGGATGGAGTGCGGGGGAGGCGAGAAGATGGATGGATGACAGGTGACGATCCGACGAGGAGGAGAGCGGGGGAGGAGGACGAGCGGTCCCCAAGGAGGGAGTCTCGCGACGACGAGGAGTAGAGCGCGGGAGGAGGACGAGTAGTCCCCAGGGATGGGGTCCCGTGCTGACGGCACCTCCGCCCAGGCGAGCCGCTGGCAGACGCGCCGCCCTCTCCTCTCTTGGCTATGTTGTTGCTGCTGCTGCTGCTCCTGCTCCTCTCGACTACACGCCAGAGCGACCCCCTGGGGGAGGAGGGAGGATGGGGAGGTCCTCCTCCTCCTCCTCCTCCTCCGCCTCCTCCTCCTCCTCCTCCTCCTCCTCCTCCTCCTCCTCCGCCTCCTCCTCCTCCTCCTCCTCCTCCTCCTCCTCCTCCTCCTCCTCCGCCTCCCTCTCCTGCATAGGGCAGCTGCGGTGGAACATCGGCCTGTCGGCCCCGGCACCCCGACGGCGACGGCGGGGAAGGCCGGCCGCGGGTAAGAGAGTGACCTTTGATGCGCGCCCGAGTTATCCGGGGTAACTCGGGTCCGGGGTAACTCGGGCTTGGATTCCCGAAAAAAGGAACCCGAGTTAACCCTGACCCGAGTTACCCCTGATGATTCGGGGCCCTGGACGCCCGAGTTATCCGGGGTAACTCGGGTCCGGGGTAAGTCGGGTTCGGAATCCCGAAAAACGAACCCGAGTTATCCCTGACCCGAGTTACCCCTGATGATTCGGGGCTCTGACTTTGATGCGCGGCCTTCTGCCGCGGGGGAAGCCAGGCACGGGCGCGGAGGACGCTGCTGTCACCTCGCGGTCGGCGATCGGGGGGCCGAATGGGGGCCCGCACCAAGAGGTCCCTCTGGCGAAGGGCCACTCTGTACGTGTGGTCGGTCCTCCCCCTCCCCTCCTCGGGGATCTTCTGACCCAGGTCAATCCAGACCCGGGTCAGCAGGAAACCAAAAACTGCAATGCAGGAAAACAAAAAAACTGCAACGCAGATCCTCGCAAACCCGGGTCAGCCAAAACGCGCGGCCGCCTCGCGGCCACGAGCGGCTCGCTAACCCGGGTCAGCCAGAGGGGGTCTTCGCAGGATCCTGCAGGATCTGGCGCCCTGGCTGACCCCCGTTTGCATTGACCCCCGTCTCAAGGCTCCCGACCTCCCAGACCTCCTCACAGACCGGCCAGGCTCCGCCCGTGATGATCTACTCCTGGCGGGAGGAGGCCCCGGCTCTTCCTGCTGCTCCCCCGGTGTTCTGTTGCAGCCGGACCTAGGGCAGAAGAACATCTTTCAAGAACATCTAACGGTACCCTCCCGAGGATGCACAATAACATCCAACGAACACGAAGATCAGCAGGATACACTCGACCTGACTTCGATCTGACTCCTGAGTCCGACTGAATCTCATAATCACAACAATATCGTGATTTTATAGGAGCGACGATTGGCATCTTACGCGAGATGGCGCAGCGACCGGGCAACTCGCGCGCGAATGTCGGTGAAGACGCCCTCGTTTGTTTTGCGTCGCTCGTATGTGTTTGCTCTCTCGATCCTCCTGTTCCTGCTCCTCCTCCTGCTCCTCGTCCTCCTCCCGCCGCCACAGCCGCCGTGCTGCTCTGAGGAACGCAGAAGCAGGAAGCATGGATCTTCTGGCCTGGGAGCGGCTCGACGAGATGCCCAGTCGGCCAAGAAGCCTGAGGCTAGAGACGCCCCAGCTTTCCAACCTGTGGGGTCCTGGGGCGTCTGTGCACATAGTCTCTTCGCCGAATTAGCTAGCCTCTTGGCCGACCAGGCGACGTTGTGTCTACACCGAGCCGCTCAGATGATCGCGTCGAGCATCGACCAAGAAGAAATCTCCAATCCATATCTAGGGAGCGGCCCGAGAACCATAGCCCCCAGAGCTCGGCATCAAGGTATCCAAGTTTACCCTTACCCTCCCTACCATTCCCACCTGTCCCACACCCATACCTTCATACTTTCAGCATGGCTTCTCAGAAAGTCCAGGCAAATCTCTCAGAAGCCTTTGCGTCGACCGCCAAACGAGGCCCGTCAGCGTCTCTGGTGAAGGAGAAGCTTGAGAAGATCCAGCGCTTGAAAGAGTCTTGACGTCTCCGACACCAGGAGCTTCCTCGCAGGGTGGCCCCACGCAGTCCCCGAACTTGGAGGTTCTTGAGGCTATTCACGCACTTTCGGAGAAAATGGACAAGATGGCCTTAAAGTCAGACGTTGAGGACATGAAGAAAGACCTGCAGGCTCAGCTTAAACTCTCCGTGTCTGAGGCGGTTGACCCCCTGAAGTCGGATATGTATGATTTAAAGCAGCGCACTTCCAAACTAGAGCAGGCACCTACAGCAGCAGCAGCGTCTAGCAAGGTCATCGCCGATCTTCAAAGTGCCGTCAATCGTCTCGATCCTGCTCTTCGTCGTATCGCGTTTGTCGGTTGGCAAGATGACGCTACCGAGGACACCAGGGCCCAACTGCCGCTCTCATGTTCCACACTTCTGTCCCACTGGGTTTGGACATGAATATTCCGGCCCATATTCCAACAGGAAATTATCTAAAGCTTCGTGGGTTGAGTTCTGCAGCAATGACGTCGCGAAATCCTGTCTTGGTGTCTTGGGGTCCCTCGGCATCAGGTGTGAGCATAGCGGCAAGCACATCGTAGTCAAGATGGCCCGCACGAAAATGCAGAAGCAGCGGAACTGGGCGATTCGCAAAGCCGACTCACTCATCAAAGAGAGTCCGCAGTCTACCGGGAAGGAGGTGCAGATTTTGTGGAAGGTGGAGAGGTCTAAGGAGAGGCAGGTTGTCGTCAACAACGTCGTTGCCTTTCGTCAGGGCAGAGATGACCCGCATGGCTCGTTCGAGGCAGAGTTTGACAGCTTAGTCATCGAATAGGGTGTTCCTGGGGCCGTTCATCAACACTCACATCCATATATAGCTAATGTTTATCACCGGCACGCCCGCCTCCCTGAGGCAGATGAGCGGCCCCAGAAGACAGTGCCCCATCGTCGTCTTCGACGCCGTGGCCCACGCTCTGCACAAGCATATGCACATAGACTCCAACAGTGGAAGCATAATTCAGGGCATTGTCGCCCTCCCGACGGCGGTCCGCGAAAATCCGGGCCTGAGCCGTCGGAGTCCAATCTGCATTTCTCCATTTTCAACGTGAACCTCGGCGGTTTTCTTAGCCACGCGGCTGAACTTCACCACAGACTTGCTTTGGCAGATTTTCCAGATATTGTAGCTGTGACCGAGACTTTCTTGGACAAATCAGTTTCTGAAGTTGACTTGGAAGGTTATTGCCAGATTTCCCGTCTTGATCGTCGTGATGGGCGGAAGTGCGGGGGTGTTGCTGTGTTCTCCAAGATGAGTTTTGCCCAGAATGTTGCTCACGTGGGTGATTCGCCTGAGTACGAGCGCTCTTGGCACATCGTTCACACGAACCACGGTCCTCTATTATTCAGTGTCTGGTACCGGCCACCTTGCCACGGAGAGGTGGAGTCGATCTTAGAATTCGAGAGGGAATGGGAGCAGCACCGGCATCTTGCACTTGGTACCCTCGTCGTGGGCGACATGAATGTGCATTCAACTTCTTGGTTGAAGCATTCGCACAGCAATTCCACAGAAGGCAGTACCTTGCAAATGGCATGTTCGCGAATGGGTCTGATGCAGAGAGTCCGGCAGCCGACTCGTGGAGCGTACTTGCTTGACTTGGTCCTGACAGACATCAACGCCGGGGTCACATGCAAAGTGCTTTCCCAAATTGCCGACCACAAAGTTGTCTTGGCAAAAGTGGAGCTGGCCGTACAGCATTCGGCTCCTATTGAACGAGATTGTTGGAATTACAGGCAAGCGGATTGGAATGGTCTCTGCGACTCTTTCAACAGCATCGCCTGGAGCGGCTTGTTCGCTGGATGTGGCCCCGATGAGGCTGCTAACAAGTTCACGCATACGCTTCTTGAGCGAGCCAGAAAGTACATCCCAATACCGCGTAGAACATTTGGTAAATCGCCACATCCATGGCTGAACGAACGGAGCCGGCAACTCATTGAAGCCAAAGTTCGTGCATCTGGTACTCGTGATTTTGACTATGCCGCTAAAGCTTGCTCGCAGGGCTTGTTGGAACAGGACTCTAAGTACACGCGCCGGGTGAGGCATAAGATTATGTCCTTGAGTTCGTCGTCCAAGAGGTGGTGGACATTGTGCAACTCGTTGATGTTACGAGCTGGCCAGGTCTCTTCCATACCTCCCCTGCTTGGTCCCGACGGCGAGTGGGCTTCCACAGCATTCTGCAAGGCCGATCTATTTCGAACGAGTTTTTCCTCGAAGTACGGTTTGCCAGAGCCCGTTCTAAACGAGTATTCTGCGATACAGGGCCCTGCGGGTCAGAGGATGTCCGGCTTCCTGCCTGTACGCGCACGCTGGGCGAAAGCTGTCCTCAAGGGGCTCCGGGAGAATTGCGGCACCGGCCCTGATGGTGTGCCGGCGAAGATATTGAAGCGATGTTGGCGTCCATTGTCAATTCCCCTGGGAATGCTGACTCGGCTTGTCTTGTCATCTGGAACTTGGCCGTCTTGTTGGAAAATCCATGGGTTATTCCCGCTATTCAAGCGCGGCGCCAAGTCCAAACCCGCGAACTACAGGGGAATACACCTAACATCCAATGTGTCCAAAATTGTTGAACGAATTCTCGCTCGATTCTTGCTTCCATTCTTCGAGGAGTCTGGCTCGTACGGGAACAACCAGTCCAGTTCGCGTACCACAGGAACAGGGGTTACAGGGACGCT